ACTAGTAAAATAGTAAAAAAGTAAAATAGTAAAATAGTAAAGTCCTGGGTGAACCGGCGCAGGTCGGTTTCCGAGATGCAAACGGCTCTGGTCGTGGTAGAATAGTATAATAGCAAATAGTACTGAAATAGTAAATAGGACATAGTAGAAGAGTAGTATAGTACTGAAATAGTAAATAGTAAAATAGTAAAGTACTGGGTGAACCGGCGCAGGTCGGTTTCCGAGATGCAAACGGCTCTGGTCGTGGTAGAATAGTATAATAGCAAATAGTACTGAAATAGTAAATAGGACATAGTAGAAGAGTAGTATAGTACTGAAATAGTAAAATAGTAAAATAGTAAAGTCCTGGGTGAACCGGCGCAGGTCGGTTTCCGAGATGCAAACGGCTCTGGTCGTGGTAGAATAGTATACCAGGAAATAGTACTGAAATAGTAAATAGGACATAGTAGAAGAGTAGTATAGTACTGAATAGTAAACTAGTAAAATAGTAAAATAGTAAAATAGTAAAGTACTGGGTGAACCGGCGCAGGTCGGTTTCCGAGATGCAAACGGCTCTGGTCGTGGTCGAATAGTATAATAGCAAATAGTGCTGAAATAGTAAATAGGACATAGTAGAAGAGTAGTATAGTACTGAAATAGTAAAATCGTAAAATAGTAAAGTCCTGGATGAACCGGCGCAGGTCGGTCTCCGAGATGCAAACGGCTCTGGTCGTGGTAGAATAGCATAACCTGGGAGTCCGTTTGACCATAATCTTGGTGGCCATACCCGGAGCGTACACGAAACAAGCCACAAGTGGGCAATCATTTTTTCATGGACATACGGTTTTGGAACTTGATCGTTCAGCACAAACACTTGAGCCACACGAAACCTTCGAGACGTAAGCATCGTAGCATGACAAACCTTTGAGTACACATCAAGAGCATCACAAGCGCTTGAGCCTCACGTACTTTGAGCCGTGAGCATCAAGTGCAAAAAGAAACATTTGAGCCACAGAAAAAAAGATATATAGCATCATGGGCATCAGAGCGGACACCTTGAGCCATGTACCTGGGCAGGGTTAGGGATTTAGGGTCTTTAGGGACTTTAAGGTTTATACGTATATATATATATATATATATATATACATATATACATAGAGAGGTACATATATATATATATATATATATATATTGCATATCCACATATATGTACACACACACACACACACTCGAGAAAACCCTTGACTCCCTGAAAGCTGTTGGGTTCGGCTCGGAGGTTGAGTTCGGGTTTTGCGGCTGGGGGTCGGGGATTTAAACTCGGACAATGCCAATGGGCTGAGGTTTTGGATTTTGATTGTGGCTTCAGGATTGTCGAAGAGATTTGAAGCTTGAAAGCCCCAGTGTGCACCCATCGCGATAATTCTTCTGAACCCCGGGCCCCGGGATCCTCAATCTAAATCTAGGCCTCAATCTAAATCTAGGCTTTAAAGCCTGAAAGCGCTCGCTCCCTATGTGAGCATCGACGATCGAGTTGGCCGTCCTGGGATCGGCCGGGCCCTCATTTTTCCACGGACTGCCTCGAAGCTCGACGGTAGACCCAAAAGCCACCTTTGTAACAGACGCTCTTCGGCAGTCCGTCGGTCTGTGCCCCGCAATGTCTTCATAAGATGCTTGAGAGCATCTTCGTCCATCCAGGTCGAGTAACAATGCGGGTTTACACAGCCGTTCTTTACAAATAGGTGGTGCAGCAAGTGAAGCTTTGGGCGGATGCGATACAATCGTCTCTCCTCGCCAATTGCCTCCTCTGCCAAAGCACAATAGGATCTCAAATACAGCGTGCCAGCTTCGCGCACATTGCGAATCTCATCACCAGTGAGAAATCTCCCGGTCGAGTTCGACCAGAGAGTGATGCAATGATTGCTTGCCCACAATGCCAAAATGAGTCGTCGATCCAAATTCGAGGTGTCCGTGGAATTATAAATCTCATGCAACAAAAACTGCTGCACGATGTAGGAGTCGAAGCCAGAACTCTTCCTATTTGGGTACTTCAAAGGATTTATACTACGTCTATTTGTTTAGTACTTAACACCTACTTTCAAAAATGCAGATTCAGAAAAACCTGCAGAATTGCAGCCGCGGTTCAGCTCCGGGTACTTGTTCGCACCCGTCCAGTTCAGCTTTTTTCTCGTGAGTTGCTTCAAGCGAAGGTTCAGCTTGTTGTTTTTGGCATACAGCTTGAGTCGACGTGTAGCTTCAGCCAGCTTACCGGTATGGTTCCCAGTCCAAAAAAACCAGCCATGATCATTATAACAATGGCTGATCCCAATAGGTCTCTTCCACAGCCCAGGTGGTAGCAGTGCAAAATATCAGGAAAGATAAGGCTTGGATGGAAGCCCGCCAAACTGTGATAAGCTGGTCTGTAGGTCCAGGGCTCTTGCTGAAAAAGCGTTTGCATGTACGGCGCTGTATGTAGGTTTGTAAACACCATTGCATCATCCTCAGCGCCTTTGGTCGCTTCGCACATCCAGCAGATCTTGCAAAGGGAATGCATCACAAAATGAGGAAGATCATTTATGGGGCTTAATGACCTATATATCTGGATTCCCTTTGTTTATGATCATAACTATTATAATGGTAAAAAATAGCTACACGGAGAACTGTTCGTGTTGTTGAACTCAAGTCCAAGTCGAGCCCGCCTTGTCTCGGTCGGCATAGCGGTTGAAGTTGAAAGCTTGTCGAAGAGCCTTCCAGTCGCCGCGAAAGCCAGCCACGAAGAAATGTAGCCGGATCACCTGGGATACAATAGGAATGGAACATGTTCGAATCCAAATCCAAACCCTGTATACTGTATTCTTGCTAAAGTACATTTGCTTATGGCAGTCAGAGCACAGGTGCTCCTCCCATTGAAGGCAAGTCGTGCAAAACCAGACCCTCGTTCGAAAGCTTGTTGAAGCTTTGCGTAATTTCCCAGCAGGCTGCTTGCAGAGTCAGGTTTGTACCATCACCACTCAACACATACCTTGATACCGGTATGATTGCACATAGGAATCGCGATGAGGCAGAGTGTCCCGGAGCCGGGTGCAGGTCACTTGTAAACATAAGAAACATCCAGGTTTCGTTCACAGCTGTAGCTTCATCACCTGTGCCCATGAGAAGTTTCTTAAAAACCAAATAGATAAGGTTACTATAAACTAAAAAATAACCTACGTCCCCAAATCTAGAAAAGCACCAAACCAAAACAGCTGTGCTTTCTTAAAATAGCTCAGTAGCAGTAGAGGGTGCACGGTATGGAGGTGCTCATTTTATCCCTTGCAGGGTGCCCGGGGTACTCGCGAAGAAAATTTGTCCAGTAGCCGGGAACCATATCCCAGTCAGCCACCAGCATATCAAGATGACCATGACGGGCCATTGCAGCAACCTTATTTGATTAATTCGCGTGTACTATTTACATATCAGAAGTACACACTAGCATAACCCAGCTAGCTGCAGTCTAAGCTCGAAGTTGTGCGGCAATATCATCGGCCAGTCTCGCCAGACTACTTTGTTGTCATCATCCAGCATCGGCAGAGAAACCTGTGACACCTCGCAGTTCAAAGCCAGCCCCTGCTTAGCGGCTCGTTCATGAAGTCCTTGCTCCTTGCTCCTGAGGTTCGACACAACGAACGACGATCATCGTATGCGGAGGTGCTCGGGCTTGAACGTAACTTTCAGAGTAAGTCAATAAGTTTAAACCATGCATCGATTTCAAGAGGTTGCTGCCCACCGCAGCACCGATCTCTGCAGCATGCCTGACAGATGCATAGCCACGTCCAATGGTTTTTGCCAGCCTGAGCTTGTGAGAGACACTACATCATTGCCGGTCTAACCCCATAAAAGCCGAGTAACACCCGATCCAGCTCATCTCGTATCGAAGAAATCTCTGAACCTGCGTGGGTTCACACATATTGGGTTCAGCTCATAATCACAACATGCAGCTAGCGGTACAAAGTGCCAATGCAATGCTTTTTTTTGCAGCAGTCTTGAGGTCACGATCTTGTGGCATCGAGCACAGCACACTGGGCTATCCAGCATGTTCAGATCGTGATCGTATGCTCCAATCGCAAGCCGAGGGAATCTATGGCACATATCTAGGTACCATCACCCCTGCTTCAAAAGCACAGCTAGGGCCAGCTAGGGCACAGGCGATCCCCCACAACGAAGTCTTAAAGGGTAGAGCGGTTCATATGATTTGTTGGGTCTTTAGGATTGTCCAGCCATACGTACAACCTACGATGCAGAAGCGGTGTGCCCTAGACCCCACAGTCCTCCCACACAGGACTGCTCTACTTGGTCTCCGAAGCAGATTTGCGCTGGAGCTCAGCTGCCACAGCACGGACCTGTGCTCGCACCATCCGGGTGTTTTCGGCCTTGGTGGGCATAAGGGTTTCGGGTTTGGCTTCTAAAGGGGTGCACATACTGTTTAGATTGCAATCTAGCAGCCAGTGCTTTGCACTCGTCGACGAAATCCTCGGCATCATCATCCGCCACACTCCTCAGCCTCAGATCATGGGACCCCATTATTATGTATAAGTGTAGTGTAGCCAATGCATGCGTGATTATTTAGAGCTTCTACAGCTGGGGTTGGGTATGTAGGCAGCTAGGTAGCTCATCCAGCCGGTTTTCCAGATCGCCCTTTTTGCCTTCCATGTCCTTCCGCAAAGCATGGTCCTTCGGCAGGTCGTAGCAAATATTCGCGGCGTTGTACTCTTTCTTCAGCTCTTTGCCTGAGTTGGGAAAAGCTTGATTGGTTTTTGTATGGGGGCTTTGAGGGTCCAGTGGTTAAGACGAACCGAGACACGGCATGCATCCAAAAGCTCTTTGGGTGTCTTGGGCGCCTGGATCAAGGCTTTTGCCTTGGCTTTGGCCTTGCTTTTCGGGTTTTTCTTGGGGGCGGCGGCGGTGGCGTCGGCCGATCCTCGGTGCGTAGAGTCAGGTAGAGCAGGAGTACACCACCAAACCGTGCATGCGTGGAACCTTTACCTCTAGCCCCTCAATGCTGACTCGGTGCCCGAAGCAAAAGCGTTCGCAGCAAGCTGCAAAACTGCATCGGTGGCGCCCGAGGTCGATCCAGGCCCCGGCATTCCGTTCAACCTCATCAACGGGGCCACGGCCTTGGCACCGCCGGTCTGGGAAACCTTTTCGGATTCTTCCACGTTCTTCTTCTTCCGGCAAACATACACGATGGATTCGAGGCAGTGAGGGGCGTCGGGGTCAGGGGTTCCACCCTTTCTGACTATGCTTTCGATCTTTGTCCTTAGATGAGGAGGCAAATAGCATCTCAGAATCAGAGTGTTGTGTTTAAAGGATTGATAGTAATATTGCAAACATTGCAGTGCAATCAGGGTTCGCACTGAATCCTCTCGCAACCATTTCCTTCACGGTGAGCTCCTCATAGCCACTCTTCACCTCGGCCGATTTCGTCTTGGTGATGATCAGCTGGGCCTCCGTGTTGTTCATGTTCTCGCCCTCCTCGAGCCATTTCGCGAACACTTCGTGCTGTTCCTCGGCTAGGGTGCACATCTCTATACACACGAGATGTAGCTGAGCATGCATGCTATAACTCGACAGGTTTCGTCTTTGCTTCCGGTCCACAGCTTAGTCATTTCGGGGAACTCCGAGCCCTGGCTGTCCATTCGCCGACCGAACTTCATCCATTGAGCACGGTGGGTCGACGAGTTGGGCCCCTTAGGCTTCGTGGTCTTGGTCACAGAGGTTGTGGCAGGCGGTTTGGCCTTTGGTGGCGGGGTCTCGTGGTCTTCATCCCCCTCCTCCTCCTCCTCTTCATCATCCTCCTCTTCGCTTTCTTGCTCCTCCCCGTTCTCATCCTCCCCATCCGACTCCTTCTCCTCGTGCTTAACCGAGGCTTTCGCAGGCGGGGCCGGCGGTGCGGCCGGCGGTGTGGCCGGCGGGGCTCCCGGGTTCGCATCCTTCGTAGCCAGCATGGCCTTCAGCCTAGTGATCTCTGACTGCATCGTTGTCACGAGACTTCGTAGCTCGCTGTCGCTGCCTGCTTGAGATGCACTCATCAACCTCAGATCGCTCTTGCATCAGGGGATTTAACTAAATCGGCAGGCAGCATGCAAGGCAAAGTACATAGTAGAACAACTGCATGCAGTGCATGACACCCTTCATGCAGATCCTCCGCGGGAACCGCACCAACCTCCGAGGCTGGACGATTCGAGTATGCCTGCTCATCGGTGAGGTGGGCACCCAGCACCAAAGTACTCAGGGACCTCAGTTGATCAATGCATTCGATGCAGTGCACACTTCGACTGAATATGTAAGTCATCGGTTGCATGTAAACAATCAAGGACCGATTGTTGCAAGCACGGGGGCTGTTCGGACTTCGACCGCCGTACACGATTGAACTTGCTGTTCAGGTCTGTTGGCTTCACCTCTAGCGCGGACATCACTTCAATGCTTCAAACGCAGGGTTCATTAAGATTTGGCAACAACATGTATACTTTCGGGCTTTAGGGTTTTAGGGTTTTTAGGTAGGGCCTTTAAGGCTTTTAGGGTTTAGTGAGAACAAAGCATTTTGTGACGGGCCTGTTCTGGGCTCTCGGAGCGGGCTTTCTCCTTCGTTGCAGGGCTGGGGATGCCATTCCACGTGTTGATCTTCGGCGGGCTTGTGGTTTCAGGCGGTGGCTTGGCGCTAGAACTGCTAGGAAGCGGTTTCTTCACTTCCTCCACCTCTTCCTCTTCCTCATCCTCTTCTGCTTCCTCCTCCTCCCCTTCCTGGTCGTCTTGCTCCTCGTCATCACCTTCCTCCTGAGACTGCTGTTGCTCCTGTGTTTGTTTCAGGGACTCGTCCTCCAACACAGGGCCCGGGTGGGTCTCTTCAGCAGCAAGGTGGACCTCAACAGGCTTAAGCACGTGCTTGGGCCGGGGACCAAGAGCCGCCTCCATCATCTGCAGAAGTTTCTCGTACTGCATGTCTCTGTACATCGGCTTGTCGGAAGCCCTGCAAGCTCGCCACACATCATCCAAGTTTTTCCAGCTCACCACGACATTAAGCCCCGTCTCGAAGAACTCCTCACCCCAAGCCCCGGGTGTCTTAGGTGGAAACTCCTCGAACGGACCCAGATCCTCATCGGCAGCTGCCTCGGGGGCATCCTGAGACTGCTCCTTGCTGGGTTTCTTCGGCTCCTTGGTGGGTTTGCCGGGTTTCTCCTGGGACTGCTCCTTGCTGGGTTTCTTCGAGGTTTCTCCTGCGGCTGCTTCTCGTTGGGTTCCTCCTGCTTCTCGGTGGGGTCCTTGTTGGCTTGGCCCTTGCTGGGTTTCCCTTTCTTGGGTGGCTTCTCATCATCGTGTTTCTCAGCTTCTGCTTGGGCTTCGGCGGGTTTGCGCTTGCTCCGGGCTCGGGTCTCAACCTTGGGCTCCTCTTCGGTCGGGGTCGGCTTCGCCTTAGCTTTAGCTGTCTTAAACTTCTTAGAAGGCTCGGCAGCTGCTTCCGGGGCGTCTGGACCACGCTTTAGCAATCCCTTGCTTTGAAGCATAGCCATAACATCAGCCACTTCCGGCGGGTCTGCCGCCGCAGTCTTCTTTCCCGTCGCGCTCTAGCACAAAACTACGTACTGCTAAATTGGCAGCTAGGGCCCAACACGTGAAGCCACGTGAAAAAGAACATCAGAATTCACACCCAACAGCTTTGCCACACTTAAGCAACGTGAAAAAATGTGATTTCGCATGAACGTGCATCCAGGACACTCAGCAAAAGAGCTCCGTGTGAACTCACATTTTTCACGCTGGTTTCACGGTCGTTTGGTTGGTTCTCACGGCGCTTTCACGGAAATTCACGGCCAGCTGGCTTAGCACACAGCATAGGCCATTGTAGCCTAAACTACCCCCTTGAATTATGATCAAGAGCTCAAAGCCCAGGTTCAGCCACCCAAGCCGATCATCGAGAGCACATTGGCCTGGGATCCCAGCAGGAGATGCAGATGTGAATTATCGGGGTTCTTGTACTCCTATTATACATAATAAGCCAGGATACCCAGTTTCCAGGGAGCTGCAAGGAATTTGATTTGGAGATATACATAAGTACCTCGATGGCTTTTGCCTCGGATCGGGATCAATGGGGAAGGGTACATATAGTAGTTCAAGCATATAATTCGAAACCCTGATCATTCAAACTAAGCCACATCAGGCCAAAGATCCCCCAATCCATTAATGCCCTGCTCCGACAAGCACTCCTGCACGAAGAGCTCATAATCGGTTTTCCGTAGATCATCAGCTCCCAATCCCGGGAGGCGGCTCTCAGGAACGAAGGGCTCCTGAGATAGTCGAGGCTATGGAATTAACTACAATTATGTCATATATTGCACCCGTACAATGTAGCTGCAGTAGTGGTACCGACCGGAGGTGCATGAAGGCACCAGCCAGGAACTCACCAAAGTTCCTCGTGTAGCTCCTTAGCTCAGAAGCTGTTTTGCGACACGCAACCCGTGTTTCCAACGGTCTGGGCCTGAGCGGGTCCTAGCTAGCATGTAATTATTGGTCGAGGATCTGAGAGGCTTTCAGTTCAGCTCTTTTGCCAATTCGTCGCTGTATTCCCAGTGAGTCCTTGTAGTAGTGGCACAACGGCTGGAGTGTCGACATCTTACCTGGCGTCATTCGATCAGCTCGGTCCATCACGGCTTGAATCAACTTTGGTTCGTTGCTCCAGAGTGTATGTCGCTTCGCTGATGGCCCATCGAACATACCCATCCAGAAGCCTCCAGTCCAGACCTCCCAGCTTGAAAGCTTGATTGTTGATTTGATTGCATGCAGACCCATAATTAAGAAACCCATGGCCTTGAGGGAGCTCAACAACTGTTGAAATCGAGGCATAGCGGACAGGAAAGACCGACAAGGTTGCTCCACCACCCATCGAAGACCCCGAAGTTGGCACACGAAGATCAGCAAAATCACTCTGCTTGGAAAGCACATTGCCCTCAGAGACAAATGGAAATTCTTCATTTCCATAGGGTCGAAATATTGACCGTCCAGACGTATGACGGCACCTGAGATGCAAGAGTTCGGTAGCTCTGATTACAATGCATGGCAATATGACTCAAGCCCCCATCGGAAATTGCAATCGATATGCATGGTGCTGAAGCTCCTGCAGTCCAGTGCCATAAGTACCAAACCGCCCGGCCGGCAGCGTAGGATTTCCAGGAGGGCCAGACTTAGATAAGCCGGGAAGAATCGTGTGTTGTGTAATACCTGATATATAGAAGCATAGGTGGTTTACTTTGGGATCTCATGTAATGAGTATATAGCATCAGTTATATAATGATGAGACTATATAATTAGCCTAGTATGGTTCGGATTTCCATATTGCTAGAAGTACTTAAGGTGATAGCTGAGGGAAACAAATAAATAAATATATATATATATATATATATATATACATATCATACATGAAGAATGGTTTGTTCGGAGTTTGTTGTCTGTTATTATCTACAGGACATTACGACGATGCATGGAAGGTACGGCTGCAGTGCTAGTACAGCTTTATGTTCTCGCCGAAGGATATGTTCTTAATCTTTCGATCATACCCACATACGATGCTATACTCTAGACCGTGGAATAACCACTGTGACATACAAAGTCCTCAGTATTTTGGTGTTGAACTATCGCAACACTGCTATTCCGCTATACCACATAATGAATGTTGCGATCCTCCTGTGCATGCTATGGGTGGCCAACTAATAATTGCAACACAAGCAGCCAAAAGCCGGCCGGCTTCAGGAAATCCATCGTCTGCGGATCCAGCTCGATGTCGAGGGAGGTGCCGCGGAGTCCTGCCTGGGCTAAGTGGGGTTTTTCGAGCCGCGGGCATAGGTTAGTAACCCCAACAGTCGTTTTAGTTCGATCGAGTTGCACGGCGTAGTGCATGAGATACCTCCATCTTACCGCAAAACAGCTCGACGAAGTCCCGGTCCTCCCAAAGTTTTAAGTTTGCAGCACACATACACATACAAATGTGCTAATTTTCTACTGGTTATGGTCCTGAACACACGGCGCTTTTGGGTACCACATCAGCAGGATGACCATAAGCATAAGGACAGGCGGGGCCCGCATCGCGAGCAGCTCAGACACAACCATGGTCACAGCTATAATAGGGGCCCCTCAGTATATCACCGGCTCCCCAGGCTAAGCTAAAGTCTAGATCCATGAAGCACACGCAGTACAGAGCAAGCTCGAATTGAAGCACATGTCGCTTGCAACACAGAATCCCTTGCGATCTCCGGACATGCATTGCTCACTCTCTCTCTCACGACAGTCTTTCACAGCCACAGTGCGATTTCCCGTTAAGAGCCCATTGCATGCGACAACACGTATTAAACGTGCCCACCTGCAGCAGAAGCCCATAATAATTAGGGTGCATGGCAGCCCAGGCCTGCAATCGAAACCATGACAACAAGTTGTATGATCCTGTGCTACGAGGCTTCAATGTATCTGTATGCAGTATGTAGCTACGTACAGGCCATGGCAAAAGCGCATGTTTCATCGAAAATCATGCCCCGCCCACTGCAGCAAGCTTCGCCTGCTTGACGATCTTGACAAAAGGGTTTTCGGTGGCTTCTTTGGGAACGAACTTCCTTTTCTTAAGCTCCCGTAAGCTCACACCAGCCAGCAGCCTAGCCTTCTGAAGCGACGAGTTCCACATATTAGCTGCCTCCTTGTTGCCATGCTGTGGAGCGTGTGTAGCGATGTACGTTAGTCGCTTCTCACCATAGAGGTTGGGCACGTACTGATCGATTAAGTCCGGGTCCAGCTCCTCCGTCTCGGGCCCCGTTTCTTCGGAACCTGCCTTGCTCTCGGGCCCCGTTTCTTCGGAACCTGCCTTGCTCTCGGGCCCCGTTTCTTTGGAACCTGCCTTGCTCTTGGGCCCCGCTTTTTTGGAACCTGCCTTGCTCTTCGGCTTCGTAGCTTTCTTGTTCCCCGCTTTTTTGGGCTTGGGTTCATGATCCTCAGGCGGCTCGTGAATGCCATCCACATCCTCAGCGTCGAAGGCCCCTGCATACTGGCTGGATAAGGGGAACCCTTTCGAAGGTTCAGGCAGCCACGTGGCGAGGTCAGCGAAAACCTGAGATGCAATCGATCGCTGTCTAAATGTCTAGATCTAGGTGTTTCTCGGATCATGTATGAGAACCATATGCACTGTAATGGCAGCTGAGAAACCCGGGAAGGCAGGATCTTTTCGGGCTTGTTGCCGGAGGGGATATGAGCAGGCTGAGCAGGCTCCGAATCGGTTTTCGCAGCAAAGTCAAACAAGCTTGCCGAAGTCGAGACGCTGGACCCGACACTCGGACCCGCCGAGTCCTTGCTCAGCAAACGAAGACCCTGAAGCTGCGAAGCCAAGCGACTCACCTCAGAATCACGGACCGACAGGCAGCTCGACAGCGTACCCGACGAGGAGGAGCCGCTGGACCCCGAAGTCAAAGACAGGGTTTCAAAGGAAAGCATCCGAAGTCCCGGTGCAGGTGCAGCAGGCACACCATCATTCGAGTCGTCATCGTCATGATCTTTGTCACCCTTGTCCTTGCACACCTTAGGTTTAGATGCAGTACATGTTGCCATGCAATCGTACCAATGCATCATGCACTCAATGAGAATGTGGATTGATAAAAGACAAGTGACCAAGCTAGCTATTCCCAATGTAGCGATCCGCTTTCTCAAAGGGTTCAGCTTGCGATCCTTGGAACTCCTGGCGCTCTTGCAAATCCGCCGGGTGCGGCCAACCTGAGCTGGCACACGACACTTCACTAGTCACTAGTCTTTTCCTGAAACCACATGCACTGAACGAATGGCACGATATCAATCAGCAAAGCCACTAGCCTCTTCAAGGCATTGCCATGCTTCAAAGCCCAGGTTTGGGTACACTCAGCATCTGCACATAGCCCAGCCGGAAACAAGTGGTTATTGGTGTAGAACCGAAGGATCGCATCCCGAAGCATGTAGGCACTCAATCGGCTCGCCCCATTCGTAGCCTTGACCACTGCAAAGATTGCCTCAGAAGGGTTCCCAAATGTCTCAATGTTTAGAATTGAAAGGGACCTGCATGCACACACATTCTATGCAATCCAAGTACATCCTGATTGCACCGCACATCTTTCAAGCTCGGCTTCTTCGTGAAGAGCTTGCCCGAGTGGTCGCAAAGGAAGCCAAGCCCCACCTTCCGGGTCGTATGTGCATGTGCTGTGTGATGCAAACTAGTAACTAGCAGCTCTACTTAAGCTAAGTCTGTGCGCTTGTGTGTGCGTGTGTGTGCATGTATATGCAAGCATGAACGAATGATGGAATCTTTGGTGGAATCATTGCATGTTTGTACATAAGTATTATATTCGTATGTGTGCGTATGATATGTATATATGTATGTGTGTATGCGTGCATGTATGTATGTATGTATGTATGTATGTATGTATGTGTACACGTAATTATGTATGTATATACATACGTATGCATGTATGTACGTATGCCTGGAAGTATGTAACTACGTATATCTGTGTGTAAGCTTCCATGCGTACTTTTACGTGAATTTATGTTGACATCATATGTAAGCACACCACCGCTTAATCATACCGCAATCAAAGGCTGATCAAATGAAGCTAGCAGTGGGAATGCAGGATCGGGCGAGCCTCCTTCAGCCGTGGCTCCTGTGCGAAGGCGGCCGCCACAGCTTCCACCATTTTGGTCGAGGTCGTCATCTTTATAAGCTTAAGCAGCAGTGCGGGTGAGCCGGGCTTCAAATTGAAAAGCACCTCTAGTCCTCCAGTGGATGGTTCTATGCGTTTGCTAAATGCTACATAGAACACTACACAGCACAAACCCTGGGCCCGGCTGCACAATTCTCAATCTGAAGCGATGGCCACATGCAGTGCATCAAAACTGAATGTCAGAGCACTTCGCAGAACTGATCGGCACAAAGCGTGGGGCTGGGAAGCACCTGGTGGCAACGATGTAGCGAGGTCCATGAGGGTCGCCATCCGTACGTACCTGTCGCGATAGAGCCCATATCTTTTGGTCATGTTTTCTGATCTCAGAACGTAGATCGCTGCGTTATGTTCTGTCGGTTAGGCCTGCACTGGGGAGCCTAGGTACATAAACCTGTTGAGATAGGGAGTACCGAGATAGAGTAAATTGGAAATTACAGTCCAATGCAAGATCCAAACTTGCGATGGTTGTCGGGATGTACATGATAGGAAGGTTTTGAGTGTTGGAGGCTTCAGGGTTATTAGCTCGAGGCCGTGAAGATTCATCTATCGTCTTGGGGTGTATGTTGTAACCCCCGAGAAAAACCCTGAAGCTCCAGGACTGTAAATGGCCTGCATGTAGCCGCCGACACCCCCCTATAGCCCCAAGTCATGACGCCCTATTGAAAAATGATCCTGAGCCTGCACACCCTGAGCTTCAATTCAAGACAAACCCGGTACTAGCTAATTTCCCCATTGGGGCACGTCCACCCACTGCAGGCTCACTGCCCGGCCATTCGATCACCGTCGAGCTCGACGGCACACAGTACGTCTACGTTAAGGTTTGTTGTTCTACGTTAGGGTTCGGGGTTTAGGGTTAACGTAGGGTTATTCTTAATTATGTCGGGGTACGGTAAGCGACGACATCTTATGTTTGTAAGAACCTGATCGATGCAGCTCTGGATGGGCTGCAAGTTCGTACATATGTGCACATATATATATATATGTTCATGCATATACGTACACGAACGTACAAACATATATATATATATATATAGATAAATGTACATGGGATGAATATACCATGAGTGTGTGCATCAATACTATTTTAAGTTCCATAGAGCAAGAGAGCTCCAAAAGCGCATGCTGGTGAAGTATCTATCATAGAGCACATATGTCTGTATGATGTGCTGATTTGGCTGAAGAGGCAGGATCGCTGAGCCTTCTGTGGCCTTGCGGTCGGACGATCGCACAATATAAGAATCGACAACAGGCAAAGGGTTAATTGCCAGCTTTGGATCATGATCCCATGCAATCGGTCGCAATGCATGAATCTGAAATACGTGGCCGACATCCGAAATCGAAAGGGGCCAATAAGCCTTGTTCAGTCGGCAACATTCGTTGCCCCCATTGGATATCGGCAACATTCGTTGCCCCCACTGGAATATATATGAGTGAGAGAGCTCGAGAGAGAGCTCGAGAGATTCGAGAGAGAGCTCGAGAGAGAGCTCGAGAGAGAGTTAGATATAGTATATATATATATATATATATATATCGATATCGTAGGGCCTCTGTATATGTTGGGTCAAAGCCTTGAAATGCCCGGTATATATATATATATGTACATACTATATGTGGGCATATATTAAGGCTTTGAGCGTCTTTCTTATTTTTTCTCCCGGATCGAGCCGAAATTCAGAAGTTTGTCTTTCTTCTTCTGAGCCAAAAGTATTCTAGAGCTATAGGTTTGAACCGCCCGTTTGGCCGATCTGGGTATAAACGGATTAAATCGAACCGCTGCGGGGGTGTGACACGCTAAATGTGCAAAAGACTTTTTTTGCACAGAAACAAACCCCCAAACACAGAGTGAAACTTCACAATCTACTGTTTCACGCGCTGTACAATTCATAGCCAACGAATTCTGTACATTCACAAGCCCACCCTGTGAATTCCCAGCCCCGCGTGAATTCACAAGGCCCTGTGTGAATTCACACTGGTTTCGTGGCCATATGGTTTTTCACGGTCAATGTCTTTTTTCACGGTCATTTGGCCATGCGGCCTACGTACACCTATATTACGGTCAAACGGACTCCCAGGAATAGGAAATAGTACTGAAATAGTAAATAGGACATAGTAGAAGAGTAGTATAGTACTGAAATAGTAAAATAGTAAAATAATAAAGTCCTGGGTGAACCGGCGCAGGTCGGTTTCCGAGATGCAAACGGCTCTGGTCGTGGTAGAATAGTATACCAGCAAATAGTTCTGAAATAGTAAATAGGACATAGTAGAAGAGTAGTATAGTACTGAAATAGTAAATTAGTAAAATAGTAAAGTAGCAAAATAGTAAAATAGTAAAATAGTAAAATAGTACAGTCCTGGGTGAACCGGCGCAGGTTGGTTTCCGAGATGCAAACGGCTCTGGTCGTGGTAGAATAGTATAATAGCAAATAGTACTGAAATAGTAAATAGGACATAGTAGAAGAGTCGTATAGTACTGAATAGTAAACTAGTAAAATAGTAAAATAGTAAAATAGTAAATTACTGGGTGAACCGGCGCAGGTCGGTTTCCGAGATGCAAACGGCTCTGGTCGTGGTAGAATAGTATAATAGCAAATAGTATTGAAATAGTGTATAGGACATAGTAGAAGAGTAGTATAGTACTGAAATGGTAAAATAGTAAAATAGTAAAATAGTAAAATAATAGTAAAATACCTCAGTTCTGGGTGAACCGGCGCAGGTCGGTTTCCGAGATGCAAAGGGTACTGGGTGAACTGGAGCGGGTAGGTTTCCGAGATGCAAACTGCCTTGTGCCATGCATCTCGGGCACGAGCTTTGCATCTCGGAAACCAAACCTTGCATGTCGACCGCCACAGTCCCCTGGTACCGTGTCGGCACTCCGGTTGCAAGCGTAGTACCTCGCCTTAAGTTCTCTAAGCCACATGCAACGCAGATCTTGCTTTGCCACATTTGGTCCATGTTTCCGCATTCTTCGCTGACCTCAGCTCTCCAAGGACCCTGGAAGCCCGAACAGACAACCGAAGCCTTTTCCTCTTGGCTCCTGTTCGCGTTCTTAGCCTGTGCTTGGCCGATGGACAATGTCTGCATGATGATGCTTGAAGAATCAGACCGAAGCCAAAGCCTCTTGAACTGTCACATCACATCAAGCCCAGGGATCGCGCTTGTGCCGGGGAGCTTTTCAGCCAAAGGCCCCGAAAGGCCTCGAAGGGCCCTTGAAAGGCCATGGAGGTCATGGCGAGATCCGTTTCGACGAGAGGCCGCCTCGATGAGCCGAGGCCGAGCAGAGAGCAGAGCCAATGCTTTTTCCATGGTACTTTGAGCATATTTGAGCCTTGAGCTGTTTTGCCAGTCAAGTCCGACAGGCTCTTATCTGCTGACTTGGATTCCATTCAACACCTCAACTCCGCCGGACATCCCACGAGGAAGTGCAAGTGGCGCCACTGAGTTTCGAGGACATGGATAATGCGAGAAGGGTGCAGCAAGATGCACAGCACCTCGGGCTGGGTTGAATGTAGAGACAATTTTAGAAGCATGCTTCTTGCCTGTTCTTCTCGGAGGACGCTTGTACTTCCAGCGGCTGTGCCCCGAGATTGGGTTTCACTAGCAAGCGACCTTGCCAGGCCTTTGAGGATACGAGAACTGTAGCCAGTCGGACACGTCTGTGAAAAGACACGCATGATGCATGGCAATGGCTTGTCATGCTTGCGTAGTCTTGCTGGTGCTGTTACTTTGCTGGCTCAGATCCTGAGCCAAAGGCCCGTGAGAAAGCTCCTGGCAGCTGGGAATGTTTTGGCCTTCAGGAGGCAGGCTGTGGGAAACAATGTCGAACGTGTTTTTTTTCTGCGGGTGAAAATCTCACTTTCCCAGTGCTCAGCGAATGATGTCGTGCGACATTGCGATATTCTTTGAGGCTTGTTCGTGAACGAAGCCGCCAGCTTGCGCCACTTGTTGCACAACCGGAATATCCAGGCGCCGGCTGGCAGACACAGGGTGCCCAGCCCATCAGGTGTCAGGGCGAGGGTTTCTCTAGCCACTTCCCGTGCAAGCGTGTCCGAATCCATGCCCCTCCACCCCGAAGTCCGAAACTCCACGGGACCTTAGGCTCACGGGCAGTCGTGAGGGCGATCCTGTTGAGTTGAAGGCCGCGGCCCGTGTGTACCTGTTTGGAAGCGACGGGCCGGATCTGTGGCTGCCTTTGTCGCCTGATTGCAGCAATCCTTTTCTAGCTGAGCTCCTGCGACTCTTGTGCCGACTCTAGATCCACGTGGCCAAGAGCGGCGGCACGGCCTTTCGCGATGCACTCTTGCGGGGCCCAGGCACTGCAGGCTGGTGGAGCTGCACCTGACTTGTCAGCCTGACTCGCCGTCAGGTGGTGCGGGCTTGCGAGTCCAACCAAATTTTCCTTCAGCGCCTTGGTCAAAGCAGCTTTTGCGCCTCAGTCGCTTAGCTTGCGCCGTCATGCTGCAGTAAAGTCTGTTGAATGTGTCTAGTATGACCGCGGTTCCGTTCCGTTTCTGTGATCAGTGCCTTAATGTTATTGTCTGCTTCAGTTTCTCGGTTTGGTTCTTGTGGTTCCAGTTCCATGTCTCCGATGGTTCGCTATTCAGTACGCAATTGCTGGTTCCTCAGTCCGCTGTTCGCTGTTTTTCATGCAACTCTCGGTGCGTAGGCCCCAGCTAGTTTAATTCTCCTCCACCCCCTTCACCTCCCGGCGCCAGCCAGGAAGTATGGATTTGGCACACTCCGGGCCTGTAACCTGCCAGGTCTCGTTCTCCCGCACGTTCCGTCGCATCTGTGCATGAAACACAGGTTGTCTCTCGGGTCATTTCCCTCTGATGCCGTCGTGTTGTGGCTCCCTAAAACTTGGTCGTCTGCACCTTACGAGGTTTGTAACTTCCCTCTGAGATTCTGGCTTCTCCAAGATAGGGAATTATTTTCCCAGCCACGTGCGGTGAGGTAGGAGATCTTCTGCTCCGCTCAGTACTGTGGGAATCGCAGAAACAGCTTCGCCATGCAAATCTGCCGTCAGCTTTTGTAGGAGCTGTGTCCTCCTGAGGATGTCGAGGTCCTGAACGCCGCGTGGCTGCACGCCTTGAGCTGGCTCTGCAGTGTTGGCATTTGAAGATTTGTGGGGACCACATTTTCAGGCCACTTCCTTTGCTGTGGGCCGGTTGCGCTGGGCCTACTCGAAGCAGATGCTTCGTCTTGCAAGCGGGAATTCATCAGGAGCGAGTTCGGGCTCACGGCCTCAAGTTCGGTGCTCGTGCTTTCCAATTTTGTGCGGAAAGTTTCGGGAGCTTCATAAACGAGCGCAAGTGCTTGCTTGCGGCTACGATCCATGTTGCAGTTGCGCTGTCGGTGTATGGTCCTGAAGCGGTAAGTATCTTGCCATGAGGAATGCTCTCGAGATGGGCTCCATTGGAATGGTTCCCAAAGGGGAGCTCGCCTGGGAACTTCAGGCAGGTTCGGACGAAGTGCTGCTTCAGTTTGCTCCGAGCTGCAGCAACAACACGCCCTCTGCACGTCTCATCAGTAGGGAAACTGGAGGCTCAGACGACCTCTTGCTACTGTGGGCCATACACAATTGGGTGCATCAAGGATCTCTTCCAGCAACTCCTCCATCACTCCTCCAGAGAAGGTCCCCTTGCTAACCTCGGCTTCTTGAGCTTGGCAAGCATTGACTGTGGGTGTGGTATGGTGTGGTCAACGTGGTCGAATCTTCCGGCTTCTCGAGCTCCTTGTGAGAGGGTTTTTATATCAAGAAGCCAATGGGCAGGTGGAGGTGCCATGAGGTACCCCTATACTAGTTTCGAAAGGGTGCAGTCCCGTGAAAGTTAGTTTGCTGCCTGGAGCAAAGTCAAGCAGGGCTTAAAAGGTCAAGAACGGGAGCCCGAAAGTTTGCAAACAGATCGGAGAGGCTTGGATGAAACGGAGCAAATTTGATGATGACAGATGACTGCTAGTCCCACTTTGCTGCACTCAATCGCTGAATCTGTGATGGAACAAGAAACAAGGCAGTGCTAGCACCCCAGCCTCGAGACTCAATGCCGTACTCCGTGCCAGAAGCGCTGCAAACTGTAGCCCGTGAGCAGTTGGCTACTGCAGTGCAGGTTCCACGGATGCTGGCCGAGGCAACATCGCAGTTGCAGAATCGTTCGAGACAGGTGCGGAAAGCTGGGTAAGTGTCAAATCTATTTTCTGACTGTCTCACGGTCTTTCTGTCTCTCTTGCCCTCCCGTCTGTGTCTGCACGTCCTGGCTTTTATCTCTGTGTGTGCGTGTGTGGCGTGATGCAGGGGGGCAGAAGGCTTGGGCTAATAAGAACATGGATCCGGTCAGGAGGACAACGCTCCCTTGCCGTGTCTGTGTGCCATGGCAGCATGCAAAGGGGCAACATGATGCGCGTGCAGTCCCATTTGCTTCCGGGACCAAATGTCTATGATTAAGATGTAGATTTCAGCATGCAGCCGTGCGGTCTCTGTATGTAGGGAGTGAAGACGGGATTTTCTGTCATGGTGCCTTCTGTGCAAGGTTGGGCTGACACGTTGGGCGGAGGATCAGGGACCAACACGTAGCCGGGATTCGGCAGGCACGCTTCACTTCGACTTCTCCATTGTCCAGCCGCTCTACCAGTCTTTGCCAGCCAGCCGTGTTCTAGGTGCCGCACGTACTTGGTTGAGCTCTTGAAGAAGTACTGCAAGTTCTTCAGACCTCCCTTTGATTTTTTTGCACGGCTAGCAAAAAAGTGCCATAATTGCTCGGTCTGTGTGTGTGTGTGTGTGCGTGCGTGTCTGTGCGTGTCACGGCCGCAGACTCCGTGACCAAGAGTTTTGAACATGTAGTAGCTCCGCACCATAAATGGAATGTGGCTAGATCACCAGGGTCAGTCTCCTGCCAAGCCGCGACAGCCTGGGAATGTTCATCCCATTTGCTGCTTGTTTGTATCATTCTGCATAGTTTTGCTTTCGTGAAGCTGAACAGTTCCCGTAGTTAGTAGTTAGTAGTTAGTGGTAGTAGTAGTAGTAGTAGCAGTAGTAGTAGTAGTGGTGGTAGTGGTAGTGGTAGTGGTCGTGGTCGTGGTCGTGGTCGTGGTGGTGGTGGTGGTGGTGGTGGTGGTGGTGGTGGTGGTGGTAGTGGTAGTGTTGGTAGTAGTAGTAGTAGTGGTAGTAGTAGTGGTAGTGGTAGCAGTAGCAGTAGTAGCCGCAGTAGCAGTAGTAGAGTGCTACCAGTAGCAGCGGCAGTCGCAGCAGTAGAGTAGCAGTAGAGTGGCAGTGGCAGTAGTAGTTTTTGTTGTAGTAGTTGTTCTAGTAGTAGTAGTAGTAGTAGTAGTAGTAGTAGTAGTAGTAGTAGTAGTAGTAGTAGTAGTAGTAGTAGTAGTAGCAGTAGCAGTAGTAGTAGTAGTAGTAGTAGTAGTAGTAGTAGTAGTAGTAGTAGTAGTAGTAGCAGTAGCAGTAGCAGTAGCAGTAGCAGTAGCAGTAGCAGTAGCCGCAGCGGTAGCAGTAGCAGTAGCAGTAGCAGTAGCAGTAGCAGTAGCAGTAGCAGTAGCAGTAGCAGTAGCAGTAGCAGTAGCAGTTGTGGTAGTCGAAGTAGTAGTAGTAGTAGTAGCAGGAGTAGCAGTAGTAGTAGCAGTATCACTGGAGACCTACTTCATTCACTCGCTTGGAGGTTTTGCGATTCTCCGAAATCCACTCCAGCGCTATTTGTTCGCAGCTTAGCTCGCTATGCATTTCATCCAGGAGCATGAGGGAAAAGTTCCTGCAGGTGTGCAGGTGCAAGGCAATCTTGTCGGGTATGCACGTGCAAATTTGAACACACCACATTCAAGATGAACAACAGCCTCTGATTGATGAGTGACGGTGTTCACAGGTCACACTTTCACTTTGCTGCTCGGCTGCAACATAAAGAGTTTCCAGCTCGATTTCGTCTGCAACCGCTTCTGCTGCCACATTGTTTCTCAGGCCAGACGATTAGACTGGACAGCTCGGTTGAGAATTCGTCGGCTGAATCCGGTCCAGTGCTCTTTGATCCGAATCGCGGCACGTCGGGCGCTCGTCTCTCGTCGTGGGAGGTACCTCTATGATCCGGCTGCGCTGCTGGACACCTTGATGGTGTGGCAGGTGCAATGTCGGCCCTCTTTGTCGCAAGTTGAAAAGCACATATGACGAAGGTTAGTGCTGCTGGTTGAGATTTTTGTCAGGATGGCATGGCTGGCACTGCCTGGTTGAGCGGTCTGTCGGTACACGTGGGTGCTGGCTCCACGAGGCAGAGACGATGGAGACGTGCTTTGTTTGGCTGTGTCTGCTGTGTCTGGGTCCGCACATGCCCTCGGTTGACAGGCAAGAGGCCGACAATGCAAGGATGCGGGCCATGTTCAGGACGAGCCGAGTCTTCGCATCTGAATGCATGGATTTTGATGTGAATGGCACTGCAGGAATCGAACCGCAACTCTTGTGCAGGTGCGGATCCCAGTTCGGTAGCTATTTCTCGTGCCAGATGGGCTGTCGCAATTGCTGGCTCTGCAGAAGGCGGTGCAGAACTATCACAAGCTCACTTTCGTTGGTCTCTTGGAGGAAGCGTTGCGTCAGAGGCTGCATGTTAGGCTAGTTTGTTTGTGCCAGCTAGAGGATCTTGAAGGATCCCTGCGTTTGCATGTTGGCTGCATATTCAGACATGTCTCCGACCTCAGGATGATTGTTTGAGTCGGTCTTCCGTCTACAAATCCTCTACAAATCCAAACCAGAAATCTGGAGCAGCAACATAAAACGTCTGAAATGCATCATGTGCTGTTTCAATGTCGACAAGCGTTGCGATTCGGCGTCTTCCACGTATATAGAACGGCTTTACTGCCTTTCGGCCTTAGCAACCGACCTGTGGTTGGGACCTGAAGTGCCACTGTGCAGGTAATACTCGCACTCGCCTTTGGGTATAGACTTTGCCGGGACATGATTCTGCTGCGCAGGTGGTTGATCTCAGCAATTGCCGCACTTAATCTCTCAAATTCCTAGTGGGAAGGGAAGGTAATCCATGGTCCTCCTGTCTTTGAACGGGATAGGGATCAAAACAAAAGAAAATTTGGATCAACAACTTCAACTCGGATCAACAAGAAAAATTAGAGGAAGGAAGGAAGCACGGAAGGACGGAGAGCAGACAAGAAGGAGAGGGATGTTTTTTACTTGGCCTATTCTATAGGTACAGGTTTAATTTCCTTTTGATCCTTTTGGCGTAATTTTTTGATACAACTCAATTTCTGTGTGAGCCGTAACCCTCTTTGAACCCTGTCTCGCTGGTCTTGGGTAGCTGTGTTGTGGTGCACAACTGGTTGTGTGTGGACCGTCGAGTGATCATCCCAGCTTCTGAGCAGCATATGTTTTACATATGTTTTACATTTTACTTTGTGTATGATAGGGACTGTTTCGGTTTGCAGTAAGCTATATTGTCTGGCAAGACTGCAAAATAACGCACAAAGGTACAGCGGAACCTCATGCGGTGTAGTCTTATTGCGCTGGATATCATCAGTACTACTAGTCCATATCGGATTCTCTTCTTTTCTGCCACACAGTAGCATGCTATATCATTAATATGATTTGTTACTGTACAGTAGGTTACATTGCATCATGTATACTTTATGTTCCAAGATAGTATATCAAACTCATACAAGCTGCATCCCTCCAGATCATGAAGGCATGAAGATTGTAATCGACTGCGCAATCAAGGAGTCTATTAGTTGTTTCGTATTTTTGCAAGCCTTGCATTGGCAGGCCTGGGGTCGAGGATTTACTCTGACGATCACCGCTCAAGATAGGCTTCAAAATGATTTGAGACGCAAGGTCTACGCAGTGTTAGTCAGTGATTGGAACGTTCCGAGCAAGCTGATCCTCGTGGTACGAATTCATGCCGAGGCTTCGCACAGCTCTGCGATGGTCCCGGGCTCCGTATTTCCAACATCTTAATGTGGGGGACACGCAGAAGTTGCGTCGCGACCCCAGCAAGGCAGCAAGCACCTTCAGAGCTGTGCACAGCAAAGATCTGCAAAGGCAGTGAAGAGTTAGTCGAGATTGAAATGGCGCCGGCCACTGAGCTCGTCAGATTTTAAGTTTTCTAAAGCAGCTGCCTGAGAACGCAGGCTCCGTGTGTTGACTCCCATGGATATGTGGCTTTATTCGTGGGCTGCTCAAGCTTTGTCCAAGCGGCAGTTGCCACGATTGGACATCTGCTGGCAGGTACGTGAGTGCCGACTTCCGAGCTCGCTTGGCAGCTTTGGATGTGGGAGCTGTTTACTGTCGCGCAGGAAGCGACGTACCGCAGGCTCGGAAACGCAACTGTCTGTAGAAGTCAACAGTCGACAGGTGACTGTGCGCTTTTCTTGTCAGCTTTTACACGTTGTGCCATGTCCGTGTTCTGTTGGATGTCTGCCGGGCTCGTAGCTGGCGCAACAAGGCACCGGTGTGAACCAATCCCGCGTCAGTACACTCAACAGTTGCTCAGCTACTGGCAGTGCAACGCTGATGAGAGCTTATCTCATGCATGCAAGAAGCTGTTTATCTATCTATCCAGCTGGATGCTTAGCTATCGATCCGATCTATCTATCCATCATACCCGGCATGGCCCAGCATTCTGCAAACCCTCCGGTTCAATGCTCCTCCCACACCGTGAAGGTTCGGGTTCCAGCGGACGACGAGCTCGGAGGTTGCATCGCCTCGCGCAGCGCCGCACGAAACCCGGCCTTCTGTGCTGAAGTTGACAAGCTCTCCTCCTTCAATTCTTGGTAGCTATCGTCTTCTTCCAGAATGTCGAGACATGGCTAAGGTTACATGCGGTGCCGACGTTTTCGAGGGACAGCCCCAGAAGAAACAAGAGTGACTGACAGACTATCACCTGTTCGGGACTGAAATTCAGCTAGGTGCCCGGGTGCCCGTGTTCGTCACAGACGCAGGTTTCAAGCTTTGTCGTTGAACTTTGCGAAGCCGCCCGCACTTCACTGGCAGCCAGCTTGCCTGGATGCTGCCATCAGGAGTCTGGGTGCGACTTGTGCAGCTTTGCCGCTTACAGCTGTCAAGCTCTTGTGCTCAAACTGACTTCGAAGCCAAGAGAGTCACACTACACTGTCACACGACACACGAGTCTGGAATGCTTCAGCATGAGCCACAGCATCTCACAAGAGGAAGCTGCATTGAAATGGCGAGCTATGCAATATGCTGTGCACCAGTCGATACGCCGATAGTCTGCGTTTCATGGCGGTCACTGCCAAAAGTTGGAAGCATGGGACCCTTCCGGCTGCTGGATGAGGTGGAACTTGCGTCGTGCGGTTCCTTACAGCCATTTCGTTCTCGTTGTGTCTGGAGGCCCGGTCCGCGTATGCTCAGTGGGCAGCTGTCAGCGACGATGATCTTCCAGTCCTACCGCCTCCGCGAACGCATCATGTCTCAGAAGCAACGATGTAGTGGCAGGCGTTGAACGCACTTGTGCCGTAGTTGCTGTTTGCCTGAGCTTGGCCATGCCATCTTCTTGCCAGCATGCCAAGGATTCGAGCTCTAGCAACACCGAGCAACAATCTTGGCCAACGCCGCGGACCCAAATTGAGCCTTGTTGACGTGGAGCCTTTACGACGCAGCCTTGTGCATTCGAGTCCTTCATCGGCTCTGACAGCCTCTGCACTTGTGCCACATGCAGCCAACCAACACTCGCCAGGGTGGCCCCGAACGGCAAACTGCAGCTTTGCTGATTTTTGTACCAGGAAGGACACCAAGTTGCTGCACAGCCACGACAGCGTGAATCGCCAAACCAGCTGAGTGGTGCGATCTACATCGGAATACCTTGGACGAAGTCGGCACTGGAGGTTACTGGAAGACAGAAGATTCCCGTGCGTTCATGCGTCGCATTGTATCCTCCCAGCTTTCGTCTGCGAAACGGCTCCGTCCAACAATGCATCCTCATATTTTCCGTAGGCACATATCAAGCTGTTTACGTTGCCGAATCGTCCGTGGCAGGGTAGTGAGCCAGCCGCCAGTGCATTGACAAGTTTAAGCCTGCCCTTGATTGACATGAATGTTTGTTCACCAAAGCGGTCCTCGGCTTGTTGAACTTCCGTCATGCTGCACAGACACGGTTGCATCTCCATGAGGGACTGTCGTCGACCGAACTTTCCGTCCTATATGCGTACACATACATACATACGTATAAAAAATATAAATATAAATATAAATATAAATATATATATATACACATACACACACACACATAATGCTATATTATATTGGTGCCGTTGTCAGACACAAGATTCGGATCACGAAATGCTGCAGCTCTAAACCGGTGCCTTCGCGGCATCGTCGCCGCACGTCGTCCTTGTCACGAGCCATGGCTTACAATTTACGCACCAGCCTTTTGCCCCATGCTGCCTTATTACAGGCCTAGCCGCTGAAACTGCGCTCCTCGCTAATTCTGACTGATACCGCGCCCGACCGCTGCGCCGCCGACGTCGTCCCAGAACGTGCCAACGCAACGATGCCACGCAGAATGCGATACCTTCAGGCAATATGCCAGGCTGTAATGTCTTCGACGAAGCCGGCTGCCTCTGTTTCCAGCCGCCTCCCCAGCATCCCCTGTCCCTACAGTGTCCGTCCGGCGCCGTCTGTTCATTCCCCGCATGCTACTTGTACGCGCTGAGGGCCGCCGGCAGCAAGGGTAGCATGCATGGGGTATACTTTTGCGATCAAGCGCTGCTCCTCTTGCATCCGCTGGTCGGCCCCGGCTCGGACGAACTGCAGGCGGGCTGCCAACGCCTGCGCCACACGTCCTCGACCAACTCACCGATCCCGGCGCTTTTTTGCCCAAACGGAGGACCCGCGTCTTGCGAAGGTTGGGAGCAATGCCACGGTGAGCAAACACGTCGGATGTGAGCGCTCACCAACTATGTTGCTGCCAGAGCGAGACGTGCAAGGTGTCACACAAGGGCCTCGACGTCACTCAACAACTACTACGACGATTACTACACGACGACGACGACCACTACTATGACTACTACCACTACTGCTACTAGTTTTACTTCCACTTCTACTTCCCCTACTGCTGCTACTACTACTGCTACTACTACTGCTCCTACTACTACTACCACCACTACTACGCTACCACAAATGTGCCATGTGCGTTACAATAGCAACTGCTCCCGCTTTCAATCCCACTACAAGACCATCCCTGGGCCATGGTTTCTTCCCGTGCTGCGACTGCTACTACCACTGCCACTGCCTCTACTACTACTACTACTACTACTACTACTACTACTACTACTACTACTACTACTACTACTACTACTACTACTACTACTACTACTACTACTACTACTACTACTACTACTACTACTACTACTACTACTACTACTACTACTACTACTACTACTACTACTACTACTACTACTACTACTACTACGACTACTACGACACTACGACTACTACTACGACTACTACGACTACTACGAACTACGACTACGACGACTACTACTACTACTACTACTACGACTACTACGACTACTACGACTACTACGACTACTACGACTACTACGACTACTACGACTACTACGACTACTACGACTACGACTACTACGACTACTACGACTACTACGACTACTACGACTACTACTTCTATTACTTCTACTACTACTACTACTACTACTACTACTACTACTACTACTACTATTACTACTACTACTGCTACTGCTACTGCTACTGCTACTACTACTACTACTACTACTACTTCTACTACTGCCACTACTACTACTCTGATGACGTTTTCGAGCAACTGACTCAACCTATTGCAGCCCTTTTGAGCATCGAGAAAAGAAGCCCGAGTAGCATGCACCGTGGGGCCTACTTCGCTCCATGGTAGCGGAGCTTCGGCTCATCGCTGGCTGGGCAGGCCTTTTCGTGACTTTGGCGCTGATGGCGGCGCAGGCGAGCACCGAGCAGCAAGCGAACCCTTTCTCCCCTACTTCTCCTACGGCGACGCAGGCGGCACCATCGGTGCCCATCGGCTCCGGAGGCCTGATCGATACCAAGGCCTATGGGAAGCTGCGCTCCTTTGATGGAAAGGAGGAAAGTTGGTCCACCTGGGCCTTTGTTGCAAGGAGCTACTTTGGGCTCCTGAGCGGCGCCTACGAGAACTACCTCACGGCAGCTGAGGGACGGCAGGGGCCAATGCCATTGGCCTCGATGACCGAGACGGAGGCAATCCATGCCAGGACTTTGTACCACGTTCTGGTGCAGAGTGTGGAGGGAAAGGGGCTGAGCATCCTGATGAATGTGGAGAAGCTGAATGGGCTGGAGGCCTGGAGAGCTCTCGTGGATGCTTACCAGCCCGACCTTGGAGGAAGGCACACTTCTATGCTGATGGGAATCATAAGCCCTTCCTGGGGAAAGGTCACGGAGGCGGACTTCTTGGAGAACGTCGAGAAGTGGGAGGTCTTGATCCGGAGGTACCAGGACCAGGCCGTCGACGTTGTGAGCTCGGCGACCAAGATTGCCGTGCTGATGAAGTACGCCCCGCCGAACCTCCGAGGAGCTCTGCGCACCAATGCCTCGATCATGGGGGCCGACTACGAGCGGGTGAAGAAGTTCATTCGGGACTGGCTGCAGAGCGGCGTGACCTACACGAACGTCGGCGACGCAGTCGCCCCGAGCACCCCGGGCGGCCTCATGCCCATGGACGTCGGCGCCATCGACAAGGGCAAGACCAAGGGCAAGCCAAAAGGAAAGGATGGCAAGGGAAAAGGGAAGGCCAAAGAAGGAAAAGGCAAAGCCAGCGGAGGAAAGAACACGTTCCAGGGCGAGTGCGGCTACTGCTGGAAGTGGGAACACAAGCGCAGCGAGTGCTGGCTGCGGCAGAAGAACGCAGAGAAAGGAGGCGGCGGAAAAGGAGCCGGGAAAGGAAAGACCAAGACGACAGCTGCGGTGGAGCAGGGGGCCGAGCGTGCCGGCGGCGATCCACTACTACATGGGCGAGGGCGAGGATGCCGGGCCCGAGCTGGAGGAGTACGAGGACGCGAGCTGGGTGATGGCGATCCAGGCTGCCAGCGGGAAGCGCGATGATGGCAGCACGAGGGGCCAGGAACACCTAAGCTATATCCTTTACGACTCTGGCTCTGATGAGAATGTGTGCCCCTATGACCTGACCGAGGACACCCACGACATGCCGAGCGAGGTGATGCTGCGGGACGTGGCCGGCGGAAAGCTGAGCACGGGGAGGCAGCGGAAGCTAAGTTTCATGGTCGAGACCACGGAGGGCAGGCATGTGAGAGTGGAGGGCATCTTGCAAGTAAGCCGGGCTTGCCTCAAGCTGGTGGTCTCGGCGGGCAAGCTCATCCGAGCTGGCTATGGCGCCGTCTTGACCGCAGGCGGCGGAACCTTGTGGCACCCGAGCGGCGGCCACATACCTTTGAAGCTGCACGGCAACGCCGCCTACTTTACAGCCTGGGACCTGCAGGCCGTACCGAGGATTGGGGCCAGCCAGGAATACGACGGCACAGTTCGAGTGGCAGCCCCGGTGGCGGCAGAAGGCGGCGAGAATGCAGGCGAGGCGGCAATCCAGGACCAGCCGGGCGAGGCCCCAGCCGAGCAGGAGGCAGTGATCCAGATCGGCGGGGACGTGAATTTTGAGCGTCGTGGAGTCGTGGCAGGTCTTCCTTGACACCGTTTTCCACGGTGAAGGCCATGAAGCTCCGGCTGAAGGAGCTGGGCCAGGTGAGCTATGGCACGAAGCAGGAGCTTTGGAAGCGCCTGGAGAAAGCCGAGCGCACCCACCTGCAGGAACAAGGACGTCAAGAACGACAGCGACGACTTCGAGCAGGAGATTCGGAACCCGCCCAGGCACCAAAGGCTCCCAACGAGCCAACCGAGGCCGAACGTGCCCAGCATGAGCTCACACATCTTCCTCCTGAGCCATGGTGCGAGCACTGCATAAAGGGCCGTGCTCTGGATGTCGGGCACAAGATGGTGCCGCTAGACTCTAGACCTTCGAGCCCAGCGGCCACGCGTGGAGATCGACTACTCTTTCCTCAAGACCGACGGCACGCGGGCCACTGAGGGAGAAGCTGCGGAGGTTATATTGAGTGCGTGGGACGAGTCCACGGGAATGGCAACGGCGGCCTCTTTGCCAGCCAAGAACCACGACCTTGGGTATGTGTGCCGGTGGCTTGGCGAGTTCATCGCCAACTTGGGCCATGTGAAGGTGACGATCCGGACTGACGGCGAGCCAGCGATCCTCAACATTGCCCGCAGGCTGGCCGACACCCTCAGGAGCGACACAATGGTCGGGGCCAAAGGGATCCGGGCCACCTTGGAGACGGCATTTAGGTACTCAAGCCAATCAATGGGCGGCGTGGGCTCCTTCCAGCACACCTTGAAGACAGATGTGCTGACCCTAAGGTACGACGTCGAGAGCCGTTACAACTTTGCTTTGAATCCGGGCCACAACCTTTGGCCTTGGATGGTGCGGTGGGCCAGCTTCATCCGGAGCCGCTTCGGGGTGAAGGCCAACGGGCGCACGGCCTACCAGGACGCCTTCGACACAACCTTCACCGGGGATATCCTCCCTTTCGGCGAGACGGCTATGTTCAGGATGCCAGCAAGCAAGACAGGAGCGGTGCAAGGGAGAAAGCGGATCTTGAAAGGAGACAGCCTGTGGCGCCAAGGGATTTTCCTGCGCCCTTGCAGTCCGCGGAGTACCTGTTCGGCACCAAGGACGGCGTCTACACTGCGAGGTCCCTCCGGCGACTTCCTCCAGGACAGCGTGCCGGGAAAGAGCTCATGGCAGGCTTTATGGGATTGCCGTGGGACACCAAAACAACCCTCGAGGACCACGGCGACTTTCTACCACCACGGGCGGCCGGGAAGCCTTGGCAGCCGGGGAGACACCAGAGCACACCGCGAGCCAAAGGGGAGCAGACCTTGCTGTTCCACCAACGCCGGGCGATGTGCCGGGCACACCGCCGGTGAGGGCGGCAACACCGAAGTCCCAGACAGACCGAGCAGAAGGAGCACAGACAGACCAGACAGAAGGATCACAGACAGACCGGGCAGAAGGACCACAGACCAGACAGACTCCGTTGAAGTTGCCGGCAGCCAAGCATGGACGCAAGGAGCGCGACGTGGCGGAGAAGGAACGCAGGGACACCGAGGATGCCAAGATCAGAGCAGAGTCTGTCTCGACAGGTTCTGGAGTTAAGCGTGTCCCAGCCGAGGCCGTGGAAGAGCTCGAGGCCAGCAGTGGAGCAGACCCAGCAGGAGCCAGCGAGAAGCGAGCAGCAGAGGATGCGAGCATGGACGTCGACGACCAGAGCAAACGCTTGTGCATTGGAGGCGTTGTGGCGGCCACCTTGTACACCCCTATATATGGACCTTGAGGAGCACGAGGTGGGCCAGCCGGACATCGAGGACGACTGGGCCGAGGACGATGAGGAGGAGCTGGACACCGACGCGGCAGAGTACGAGCAGGAGGTGCGAGAGGGCAAGAACAAGGAGCTCAGCAAGATGGACAAGTACGACACCTACGAGCCCCGGCCGGCATCTGAAGCAGAAGGCAAGAAGATCCTCGACAGCACTTGGGTCGTGACTCGCCGGCCGACGGGGGAAGTGAAGTGCCGCTATTGCTTGAGAGACCTGAAGCGGGGCAAGAAGCGTGATGATGTTTTCGCGGTTGCCTCCTCCCAGGCGACGGCGCGAGTGATCGACACCGTGGGGGTCAAGAAGGGCTATGTGTTCTTCACTGCCGACGCGGAGAATGCTTACTGGCAGGTGCCCATCAAAGAGGAGGTCTTTTTGTGGCCCCCGACCGAGTGGATCGAGCAGCGCCGGGCCCAAGGACTTCCGTGTGACGGGCTAGTTTGGAAATTGAAGAAGGAATGGTATGGCCGGCAGATCGCCGGGCAAAGCTTCGTGGATTGGGCAGCCCAGCAAGCTGGAACCGAAGGGTTCGACAGGTGCGCGGCAGCACCCTGGTTCTTCTACAATGCGGCCAGGGATGCAAGCATGGAAGTTCACATGGACGACTTCTACAGCACAGCCCCCGAGCGCGAGGCGACAGAGTTCCTGGAAAGCCTGAGCAAGAAGATTGTGATGAAGTACAAAATTCACCGCCCAGGGGACACCTTCGAGCACCTCAAGCGCATCAGGACGGTCCACGAGGATGGCATGATGGTGAAAGCCAACCCGAAGTACCTGCAGGCATGCTGAAGACACTGGGGTTGGAGAATGCCAACCCGGCACCCACTCCAGAGGCCCAGACCAAGGACCTTAAGCCGGACGTTTTCCTCGACGAGCAGAAAGCGTTTGAGTACAGGAGTTGCGTGGGGAAGGCCTTGTACCTTTCCTTCGACAGGCCAGACTGCCAACACGCAGTGCGCGAGCTCACCAAGCACATGAAGCAGCCGACGGCCGAGGCGATGAACTCCTTAAGGCGCCTGGCCCGTTACTTGAAGGGGACCTGCGACATGGGTGTGTGGTTGCCAAGGGACGGGGAGATGGAGACCTTGGAGGCCATTTCCGACCGACTGGGCAAACTGCAAGCGTACCCGGAAAAGCTGCGCAGGTGGAGTTTTCATGGTGGGCGGCTGCTTGGTTGGCAGCTACAGCCGGGGCTTGGCAATGATCTGCCTCAGCTCTGGCGAGGCCGAGTTCAACGGCGGGGTCATGGCGACGAGCGAGGGCATCTTCTACAAGGAGGTGTTTGACTTCTTGAGGGTTTTCCTCAAGCTACGCGTGTGGCTGGATAGGGCGTCTATCAACGTGAGGGCGTGGGGAAGATACGCCACCTGGAGACCAAGGCACTTTGGGTGCAGCAGGGCCTGAAGGAAAAAAAGTTCAGCTTGCATGCCATCTCCACCGAGACGAACCCCAGCGACATCCACACCAAAAGCATGGCAGCGGCGAGGTTCGAGATCCTTCGCAAGTTGCTGGGGGTGATCAACGACGAGGCGGTTGAGAAGGCAGCAAGGGCAACCCTTCTTTGTGGGATGCTGGTTGGAAGCGTTCGGAACCGAGTGCCCAGAACAGCTGGCGGCGGCACCCTGGCAGCCATTCTGTTGGCAGCTGGGACTGGCACGGCACATGGACAGGGCCTCCAGCCAGGGGGGGCCGGGAACATCAAGCTGTACCTGAGCGCGGACCTCGATTACACCAAGGTGATCCTGACGGCCCTCTGTTGCATCATCGGGAGCATTGTGCTTTTGCTCTGGTGGTGGTGCAAGCCTAAGAAGAAGAAGAAAGTCGGGGTGTATGAAGACGTGTACCCCGTGGCCCAGATCGAGGGGCCCTACATCTTGCGCACCGGGAGCCGAATGCACACTTTGTCAAGTTGCCCACACGTACAGGGGCGACCAGTGCGAACTTTTCCGATCTGCGAGTATTGCCACAGGCATACGGTGCAGAAGTATGAGAAAATCGACTGAAGGGCTTGAGCCACTTCGGTACCCCAATGCAGCAAAAGTGCTGAGGGGGGTGATGACGTTTTCGAGCAACTGACTCAACCTATTGCAGCCCTTTTGAGCATCGAGAAAAGAAGCCCGAGTAGCATGCACCGTGGTGCCTACTTCGCTCCATACTCGTACTACTACGACTACGACTACTACGACGACTACTACTACTACTGCTGCTACTACTACTACTACTACGACTAATGACCCCAGACTATGGTAAATTTCCGTATTATGGGTAATGCAGGGTTTACATCATGAACAGTTTTACGTATCACTACTACTACTACTACTACCACTACTACTACTATTACTATTATTGTTATTCTTAGTACTACTACTGCAACCGCTACTACTACTACTACTACTACTGCTACTACTACGACTACGACTGCGACTACCACTACTACACTACTACTATTACTACCACTACTACTATTATTATTACTACTACTAGTACTCCTCCTCCTACTACTACTGCTACTGCTACTGCTACTACTACTACTACTACTACAACTACTACTACCGCTTTCACACGTACTCAGCAGTCAAGAGAATGGTGCAGCAGTGCATCCATGCACTCAATCAATAGAGTGCAAAATCAGATTAAAGTAGAATGCGAGGACGAGGAATACGTGAAGAAGGTGGTAGAGCTATTGACAGTCACTACAGCCACCTGTTGTGGCATTCTGGTGGCATCTTATCATTGTTTTTCTTTGTGTGCAGAGGTGTAGTACACAGGTACACGGGTTGCGCATGTCCATGTCGAATAGCTCTGTTACAAGCTCGCAAAAAGGATTTCTTGACATATCGATTCCATTTGTGAATATGTTCCTGCTTCCCACTTGTGACTTGAATTCCATTTAGCTTCGGCACCTGAGGTCGTCGCTGATAGGCTAAGGAATTGCCTTCCCCAGCTCTCACGGAAAAAGCTGGAACCCTCACACTGTGCGACACCTGACAATGTAGCAATACAAGTAGAGTCTTCAGTCGGCATCCCACCGCGGACTTGGGACCGGGCTTGCTATCTATAGCGAGACGCTCAATGGGGCGGCCTGATGGCACGCACCCAGGAGGAATGCGGGTGGGCTACAGAGAACGTTGAGCCAACTGCCTGCGACGGGGCTTGCGCTGCGTGCCCACAGACACTGGAAGGCAGAAGTGGCTGTCCTCTGGTCGCAGAAGTCTATGCTGGTATGGCTGTCGCGCAGGGAGATCGACGCGTTGGCATGCCAGGGCAGAGGCATCTGTTAGACCCGTGCACCGTTCGTTGGGGCCTAGAGGCTCCCAGCTGGCGAGCGTCGACCGCAGCGCTAGCGTGGCTAGCTGCACTAGGAATGTGACCATCGCGCTTCTGAGCAGGGTTCCTCCGCAAGGTTTGCTACATGGCGTAGATGCCATTGCCTCCATGAAAAGGAGCCCCGCTGTTGGGGACACAGTTGAGCCGGAGTGCTTATTACGACGATGACGACTACGACGACGACGACGACGACGACTACTACTACTACTACTACTACTACGACTATTGCTACTACTGCTACGGCTACTACTACTGCTACTACTACTACTACTACTACTACTGCTGCTACTGCTACTGCTACTGCTACTGCTACTGCTACTGCTACTGCTACTGCTACTGCTACTGCTACTGCTACTGCTACTGCTACTGCTACTGCTACTGCTACTGCTGCTGCTACTGCTACTGCTACTGCTGCTGCTACGGCTACGGCTACTGCTACTGCTACTGCTACTGCTACTGCTACTGCTACTGCTACTACTACTGCTACTACTACTACTACGACGACGACGACACTTCAATTCAATTGGACGCGGCGCCGGCGGGCTCAGCACTTCGCGGGCGATTGCCGCATGTACACTCATTATGGTTTGAAGCTGACGCTGTGACCTGACATGTCTGATAATCTAGCGGAGTTTGATAAGGGTAGCTGGCATATGCTGGCATGTGAACCGATCCAAGTTACGCTGCACCGTACCTTCTAGGGCCGTCATGCACTTGAGACCTCCTTCCTGCTTGGCCGACACTGGATTGCCGCTGACGGGGCTTCATGGCTGCTGTTGGCCCTGTGCGCGGCCCACTGGCTAATCACGCCATCGTCACAGCAACGTTGTCGCACCCGATGCTGCAGCGCACGATGCGGCCCTCCGCGACACACTGCTATCGTTCTTGGGAGGCGCCCCGCCGGATGCTGTGGACAAGGTCGCGGCAATTTTGGGTGGCAAGCACCTCGAAACCACAAACCGGACAGATGCCCTTTCCGTTTTGCATGCACGCTGCCCGGCCAAAGACCCTGTCCAGCTCAGGTGCCCTCCCGGCGAAACGTCGCAGGACGCAGTCGGACAAATGGCGAAGCGCCATGTGCAAAATGAGAACCTGTGTCACTTCAGCTCTTGCTTCAAGCCTCAATCTTTGGCACATTTCTCGAAATCATTATTGCAATTTTTGCAGCTTTTCGAATAATGACACAACTTCAAAATCTAGACACCAACACGCAAGAGTCCTGAAACAACAGTCTCACCTCTGGAGCCCGTTACCCGCGCCAGGCACCTCTGGTTGTGGCGCGAACTTGCCCGAGGCCGCCATCATGGTCACCCGCAATGCCATTATCGCGTCGACATCGACGCGGTTTGGCAAGACTCACCATACTCACCCCCCGCGCCGATGTCGAACCCGGCTGCGCTGTCATTGCTGCTGTGCGCCGTAAGCGACATCAAACGCGACAGCCCGGCGATGCCGCCTCGTCGTTGTCGGTATTTCACCTACGTCCGCTCTGTTACCACAGATGTGCATAAACGAAACCCGTGCACAAAAGAACACAGCTAGGTGCGGTCACCATCCCTTCCTGGATGGCCGTGTTGCGCGCCATCGCAACTTGGCTGCTGATTGGAGCTTCGTCCACGCCCTTCGTACTTGCCCTCTGTTTCAGCATTTGAGGAGCATATGGTTGCAACGCATGCAGTCGCACAACTACGACGTAGACGTGGAATTGCTGTCTGATGACAGTCTCTTGTGGTTGATTTTTGCCCCGCATGGGATGGGTAATACCCTTCATCCACGCATGCTAATGTGCCCTCGTTGCTGGCATTTGCCAAGCGCAGCGATCCTTGCTTGAGGGCCTAGGGCTCTGACGTAGCCATCGTCTGCCATTTCTGTGTACTATACATGTGCTTGCGCTGCTTTCTTGCAGCATGATGTCTCACTTCGTTTTTGTGTACATATTTAGCTGCTGACCGCGGGGCGGTTGTTTCGGGACTCTTGCTGCTGTTAGGCGCACGCGGCGTCCTCGACGGTACCACAGTGACGGCACCGCCGCGCATTCCTCGCAGAAGAGCTTCCAAGCATTGTGAAACAGAACCGGCTTTACATAACGGCGCTTACACAGATTTTGGATCACCGCCAGGCCCAATTCCGCACAATGCAAGATGGAGGATTTCGAAATGTGACATGTCATTGAAAAACAAGTTGCGCTGCGACGGAGATGATGCTGCTCCTGCGAGACACAGAGGCCGCCCGCACGCAGAGCCGACCGAACGGCAACGCGCGCACGCCCAGCTCGCGCCCGTGCGAGGAGCCTGAGGAAGGTTGGGTGTGGAAGGTTTGCTATGGTCACAGTTTAGGACGGGTGTTTTTTGGGGGGCTTGGGTATACCAGCACATTCCAAGGAAACGCGCCTTAGGCCGACAATGGATCCAGCGCGCCGCGAGGGGGTAGGCCTTCGGGCCAAGGGGTTGCGCGCAACCCCTAAACCACCCCCCCTTGGCTTATATTACCGCTGGGAGATGCTGGGAGCGGTCTCCCACCCAAAGAGCAGTTTTGGTAATTTAATCTGTTGTGGGTCCTCGGTCAGTGTCACCCGGAGGGGGGAACGGCGTTCGACACCTCACGGCAATTTATTTGCGTTCGTGTTGCCGGGAGAGTGCTGCAACCCTCGTGTCTGAAAGCACGCATTTTTTTCGTGTTCGTTGAGGCTCGCTCCCCCACGGCCATCCAGACCAGCGGCACATATTCTTGTGTCACTACCCGGTCGGCCAACCTAAACATTGTTTCCACGCAGCTTTCGTCGACCTCCGTAGGCAATCCTCAGGACCCCAGCGGCCCCCAACCGCGACCGTGAACACAACGAGGTGGCAGCGCGTTTTTGTTTCTGCTGCTTCCATACGCGTTGTAGTGCCACAGCTGATCGAAGCTTCAGCCGACGTCTCCATGAACACATCATCCAGAACCGTCCAGAACCTTCCACATCGCACCTGTGATACGTTCTGCCATCTGGACCAACCCAAAAGACCTCCAAACAACATGAAACGGTGTCGAGCAGGGAGACCCCCTCGCACCGGGGCTCTATGCGTTTGGTGAGCACGATTCGCTGGTTGCCGCGAGTGCTTCTCTGCGGCTCGACGAGCGCCTTGCTGCGTTCCTGGACGACCTCTACGTCGTCACCATACCGGAGCGTGCAGCGACACTGCTGCGCGTCGTCACCCAGGAGGTGGAGCGAGGCGCTGGGGTCGAGGCAAACCTCGGCGACGCGAGTCTACAACGCCGCCGGCGGGGACGCACCACCCGGCATCGAAGCCTTGGGCCCAGACGTCTGGTGTGGCAACCTGCCTCTGGCGCAGCGTGGCTTCGTCGCTCTTGGCGTGCCCATCGGTCACCCCGATTTCGTGAAAGCCCAAGCCGCCGACCGCCTTGAGGTTGAGACCGATCTGCTCAGCAAGCTCCGGCACCTCCCCGATCCTCAGAGCGCCTGGCTCTTGCTCGCTTTCTGCGCCGCGCCTCGAGCGCAGCATCTGCTCCGAAACGTCCTTCCTGCAGACATACTTCCGTATGCTCGCGCTCATGACGACGCGGTCTTCGTTGCTTGTTTGCTGGGCGACCCGGGGCCCAACGACGGCGACGCCTGGGTAGCTGCTCGCCAGGTCGCTTTTCCGCGCCGAGTCTTGGGGGGCTCGGCCTCTTCGCG